CAGTGGTGGGAATAAGTCATGGTTCAACTATAGAACCTAACAGCAGAATAATGTCAGCCAACAACGGTGAGTGGAAAACTAATATCTCCACAGCTTATACTTTTTTTTTTAAATCTAAATACAACTGAACTTTGATATGTACATTATAGAAGGATATGTTTACAACAGAAGATATTTGTGGTTGGCTTCCACTCAGGTGTGTTCACCAGTGTCAATTCTTTATAAATGTTACCATGAATTTGCAACAACAACAACAACAAAAGTCACAAGCGCCGCACAGCTGAATCAGTTTCACTTTAAACACACAGGCAAAAATAACCTTTGGTATTATGTGAGTGGCAGTGAGTTTCTGCAGCATATAAGGTGTCCATATCTGTGTAAAGCTCCAGGGCCACGCTCCCCATGCAGCACAGCATGGGTAAATTAAATTAAAACTGAACATGATGAGGGCAGCAGGACTGGAGCCACCAATCAGGGGATTTACTCTGTCCACGGGGGATCCAGCCCACATTAACCAAAGGCCAAGGGCTTCCGCTGGAAAGATCTTTCCAGAGCCTTCAAATACACTCTGATTGAGGAGAGCCGGGCGTTTGCCTTACACAACTACATTAAATAAACATGCAGAGGGCTTTTTTTTCATCTCACATCATAAGTATTTTATGCCCAGCCATATAAGAGCTGCAACCATCAAAAATGCATATAGAAATGTACAGTTTTCCACCTGAAAAAGAGGGAGGCATGAGAGGAGTCAGCAGAGATTTGCAGGGTGTGGTGAGCAAAGGCCACGGATGGCAACAGGTGGCACAGCAAGTACTCCCCGTGGTCAGGAATAGCCCCACAATGGGTCAGAAAGTGGACAGAGGTGGGGGCAGCATGGCAGCCTCCTATTTTAAGGCTTTGACAGCTACTGGGTCTGGAGACTCATGGACTTCCCACAGAGTTCACTGTGTGATAGAGTTGTGTCCAGTGAACCAGTCTTACAGACTGTTTTATCAGAGTTTCAGAGACGTTTTAAAGCCTGTATGAGTATGTCACTGACAGCTAACAGTAAAACAGACTGTCAGGCACAAGGGCAATGGCACCGTTGGCTGCAGGTGTTGATCTGCTGCCTCTATTCCTGCCTTCCTCTTAAAAGCCAGGAAAGGATGTCAGGTGTCCTTGAAGCCGTGGGGGCTGAGAGGTGACTGATCTTAAGAAAGAGTTTGTAGTAGGAGCCTTGAGTATGTTTGGCGAGTCCCCATTACTACGTCCACCAGAGGGATGTCCCCGACATGCCACATACCATCACAGGGAGACACGTGGAGACAGACAGAGAGCCTTTGAATGTCCAGCAGCAGGAGGTCAAAGATGTAGTTTCCTCTTTACTGACATAAAATACATATTTCTTTTACGTGATATAAATAAATATATTTTAGAGTTGTTAATCTCAGCGTTTTGACTAGTGTTGATTTGTCCAGCACTTTAACAACTTTATTTGCCATTTCCCAGAAAACATAGTAAAAATGTTATATTTCTTTTAGTTCAAAGCTTAAAGGCTTTCTTGAGGTATGATGTTAGGATCATAAATTAGCCGTTCTGTGCCAAACACCAACAAAAATACCTAAAAAATTATCAAGGTACTAATGCTCACAGTTTGAAACAATTGCTAAACAAAACAATTAAAAAAACAAAAACAAAATATATTAAAATATATAAGCACAATACAAACAATTTGGCTTAAACAAAAAAATATATTAAATTTTGCTAACGAAGCTAGGAGAGATACATTTGAGCAGTAGCTGTCCAGTTAGCCAAGAGACACTGCTAACGAAGCTAGGAGAGACAAGAGACAATAACAATTCATACTGTAAATTAAACCCTTCATTTTCTACCTGGGATGGATTTACTACTACTATAAAAGTGCTCTTTGGTAGCATTGTTTGCTAATCAAACAAACTTCTTCAGCTAATCTATGGCATTCATATTAGTGAATCATTTGAAAATTAGATTAAACAAAATAGTGTGTTCTGTTGCTGTTTAAAAGTGTAAAAATGTGGGTTATGTCCTTTCTACCTGATTCACCTTCAACATCAAAGATAATCTGCTTTTAATACCACACTCATCCAGAGCATGTAATTCACTTTTTTTCACTTTGAGTTTAGCGGAATATTCCATAAATAAATAAACAAACAGGTAAACAGTTATTGAATAAAATACAATGATAAATACGAATTGGTGATTGCGATAGAAATAATCAAAAGAGGTGAACTTGAGAGCTGGGGAACATGTTTGCATACTAAACTTTATGCAGTACAATGGTACTAATTGTATTGCAATATAGTCATATTATAAATGAGCATCTCCTTGTGGAAGAGTTAAATGATGTTAGACAGATAATGATGGAGATTAATCTTTTTGATAGAATGAAATTAGCCTTTGCACTGCTCTCATTAACACAGCAAAGTGAAACAAGTGATGCATGAAAGATTCAAGGACAGGATTCACCTAAGACACACCTGCCTGAGTCCACGCAGCTTCTATAAAGGCTTGACTCACAGCCACAGCCCGGCCCCTCCTGCCTGGAGAATGCATGTCCCTATAAGGCCAACTGCTGGGAATAAATTGCGATTGTGACAGTGCAGAGTGACAGCAGCTGTGCAGCGTAGCGCGTGGGGCAGTGAGGGGTGAGGATTCAGGAGGGAAGGGGAGACAAACGGAGGGAGGAACTGTAGTGGACAGTGTTGGGTTTCATCAGGCCTTCCAATCTTAGACACCTGACTGGAGCCTGGAACATGGAGGCCTGGCCTCGAGCTGTGAAGCTAAACACCATCGCCAAGGACACACAAGGGTACCAGCCGCTGATCCAGTCCAAAAATCACAGACCGGTCCGTTGTGTAAGAGGAGCTGGTCAGAGAAGTGTTGTCAACACCGCATTTCATTTGTTCTCCTCAGGTGCTTACTATCATCACAGGTGTTGTGAATTGGTTCAAACCGAAATAACATTTAGTTTGGTGCAAAAAATACCAAACTATCAAGCGTGTGAGCTCAAGACAGAAAGAAACCCTCCGACTGTGTTCCAGTTCTGATGTGGTTGTTCTCCTCTCCTTGATGAGACCAAGACTTTCCATCAGCTGGTGTCATGCATTAGAACAGCTGACATGCTGTCACAGACAAGGCTAAACTCAAGCTTATATAATCCTCATTTAATCGCTTTATGGAAACTCCCAAAAATGGGAATAAATCATTTGTTCGCTTGAAAATCACATCCAGTGTCTTATATTAAAGTGAGGACGAGGAGCAGGGTTTTCTTCACATTTCAAAAGAGTTACCAAGTGCAGGTTTAAACAGAGACAGATTTTAAATAGTACTGCTCAGTGGCAAAGGCAGACTGGGGTAACATTTCTACCCCTGCCTCAGCTACTGTGACCGTCCACATGGAGTCTGGCTGCAGACCTCAGTCATTTATTCTGTTTTCATCCAATCAACACATGGAACTCCACCACTTTTCTTTTTTGTTACTTATTTAGAAGTAAACACGTGAAGTTTACATCTTCAACAGTCTGATCACTCCAAATGGTTAATAAAGAGAAGCAGCAACATTTTAAAATCATAAATCACAGTTCCATTCATTGGATCCACAGACTATTCCCACAATCAGAGTGAAACCGCAGTACATCCAACCAGAGATCAGCCCATGTGCTTCTTACCTGCCGTGGCCTGCAAGAGCAGCAGGGAGAGGAAGCAGCAGATCGAGACAGTAGCCTTCATGATGGCTGCCAGGAGAACTCTGATCGTCAGACAGGCTATATATATAAAGGCAAAAAGGTTAAAGGGCACGCAGAGAGAAGAGGGTGGAGTCAGCAGCTGGTGGAGGGGCAGAGAGCGGAGGTGCAGCAGGAGCTCACCACGGGGACCACAGAGGAGCAGCTGACTCTCCTTTTAGAGAGGTCCCAGCTCAGGCCTCAGCATCAGTGCAGACCTGGCACCTGGTCCATGGCCATTGACTGATAAATATTTAACAAAACTTTGTTTGACTACTGAAAAACTGCAGCTAAAAGTTTGATGAGTAGCTTCAGACATTCCTATGGCCAGAAGAGAGTATACTTCCTGGTGTAGCAGTTAGCATGCCACATACCTAATGGCGCCTCCTGTGGTGAACATAAATGATGGATAATTCACTTAAACCTTGATTTTATAATGACCATATGTCATGATTCCTCAACTGTGAATAATTCCTAAAACAAAGGTTCAATCTGCTGCCAAACATGAGGAAACAGCTGAGGAGAGGGGTTTGGAGTAGCAGACCCCTGAGTCAACCAAAAATCCCTGACACATCCAAAAACTGGACGGATTACTGCTTTATCACAGCCAGCCAGACACTGCAGAGGACACAATATCAGAATGTCTGGGGAGTCAGTGTCTCCACTGTAAATTAATCCCAGAAACTGGCAGGAGGTTTTTACAGAAGCGTTCCATTCCAGTGAACTTGGAACAAACAAACAAATGAAAAGTAATGGTTTAAGTTCTCTGGCCGTTGAAATGTTGTGGTATTTCTGAAGTGTGAGAAACTGTCAGCCAAACTGACAGTTTGATGCCACGCTCTGTCCCTGGAGCACATTTAAACTGTCAGAGCCGCTGCTTTATCTTATTTTAGCCATGAGCCGCAAAACTGGAAGAGGAGGGGCTTTGAAGTATTTTCCACCAATCAGAAATAAGCACTTGGTTGTCAAACCAGAGCAATCCAGAACTTCAGGAGAAACAAGTTCAGTGTTGGTTCAGTAAATGGATAAATTAGTCTAAAACACAATATAAAAGAGAAGAATCATACATGAAGCCTGGTGTGTAAAAAACAAGTACAAACTTTATTATTCTGTCTTTACAAAGGCACAAGCCTCTTAACCCCAAAAACATTTCTTAAAAAAAAAAAAGAAAAAAAAAAGAAGAAGCTTCTTGATGACCAAACGCATCGACAGGTGGATCATACGAAGAACAAACAGAGAGGAAGAGGAGGGAGATACTGACAGATGAACAAAGACTGCATAAAAAAGCAACAAAGACGATAAAAACACCTTTTAAGGGGAAAGGGACGAGATATAAAAGGACGTGACATGGAGGGAGACAGCGGAACACAGCTGTGCGTTTTTTCCTCTTTTTTTTTTACTCACAACCTCAAGAGCTTTAGCCGAGAAGACGCCGCTTTTATCAAACAAAGAGGCAGACTCTCACTAAATTACAGTAAGTGCTTTGTAATCATGACACCATTCAATGATCGCAGGGCCCGACCAGCTCATCTGACCATCTAATATGTCCATGGAGCATTTCCTAAGACACAGAAACTGAGTGCAAAACACAGTTTGAAGAGACAGAAGTTTGAAGAGACAGAAGATAGTGGGAGAAGAAAAGCCGAACCTGGAAACGAGGATTTTCCAGGAAACCTTCCTCTCCAATGATAAGTACTGGGACTAATATCCCTTGATTTGACACAACAGACGCATCAGTCATTCCAGTGCTGACATCCATCTCTTTTTAAAGGGCAATTTCATGATGTAAGTGACAAGAGATGTGGTGTGTTGCCTTGAACACACCATCTGTCCAGTAATTTCTCTCTTTTCAGTCAATGAATCTGTGTCATTTAAAAAAAAAACTGCATCAGAAGCTATGAGGATGACTAATATCTAAACATGAAAAATAAACCATTAGGAAAACATAGAATACAATTTTATGGAATGTCAATAATTCCTCATGGAGTTTTGTTTTTTTTTCATGAACCCACAGACATGTGACAACAGTGGACACAGCTGCAAATTCAAATGCAATGCAACCAGACATCAGAATGAATGAATACTTGGGAGGTGGAGCATGCAGCTGTGAATCCTAACCAGCAACCAGTTCATTTAATGAAGTTAAAAAATAAAATGTAGCAACAAAATCCTAAAAAAGACATAAAGGATGTGTTAGCACACCTTGAGTTTCCAGGTCAGGAAAAAACAAGAAAGGAGGGGGAGTTCAGGGAGTTCATCAAACGACCTGGATAATCTCAGACGTCAGGACTGAACTCACACCGACTCTGTGTGTGTGCGCTGTAACTAAGTCACAAATGCAGCTGCTCAGCTGCATGGTACAGCTGGTGAACACGGCTGTGGAGGATGAACTGGTCAAAGAACCATCTCTGTATGAATGGAATCTAAAGGAAAATGAGGATAATTCACACGTTATTCCAGAATAAGGACCTGGAGAGTTTACGGTTGATTACTTCAGGACATCAGGAGATAAATGGAGCAGACAACAATTAAGGCAGTTTCTCTCCACAGTAATTAGGTTTTACTTGATTTTGATGTTGGATTAAGAGCTGGGTCTTTCTTTGCTCTGCATGTGTTTGAATATTCACAGGTGCTGTGACGTTGCTCCACAGTCCAAACGTGTCTCTTATTAAAAATTCACAGACATTCACTTAAAGAGAAGACACTTGGGAATTGGACCTTAAACTCTTTTAAGGTACTTAAAACACACAATGTGATGATGAGTAAGAGCCTCAGTTTTCGCTTTACCAATGCAACTTGATTGTTAGGTCTTACACAACACACACACACACACACACACCCTTTGAGTCTCCTCCTGACACTCGTGATCTGCTCCATCTTTGAGCAAGTTACTGACGTCAATTGATTTGCCGAACAAAAACAGAAAACCAAAATATTAAATGAGATTAGAACACGAGACGAAAAGACAAAAAGAAACGTCAGCTCCAGAACACATTCAGAAAATTTCACTGGGCAATTTCTTTTTTTTTTCTCCTCCATATTTGCTGCTTCGACACACCTCCAAACCCTGACGAGAACTTCTCTGTTCAGAACTGGATAACAGCGGCCCTGAAGGTTTAGCAAACGTGATTGTATGTCAGTCATACTTGTATGTGTTACACATACGCAACTAGTTAGACGCCAAGGCAGAAGGGGTGCAGTTCAGATTACCAGAACCTGGAGAACCGCTAAATGCTCCTGCTGATTCAAAACTCCAAAGAGAGAGAGAGAGAGAGAGAGAGAGAGAGAGAGAGGTGGGAACACAGACACACCGACCAGAGAGACGTCGCTCTAGAGTGCCCACAGATTAGCTTATTAAACAAGCCAGGTGCTTTTAAATCAAGAAGGGCAGGTGTCAAGAAATGTCAAAGCACTGTCTTTGTCAGGCCATGAATAAAAAGTACAACTTGCCGAATATACATGTGAATACATGTGGTTTTACCAGGAACCCAGCCTGGTAAAACTGGTAACAAACAAAGACAGAAGACCGTCATGAGACCTAAGTGCACACTCTTCCCTCGTGCTTCATTTCCTTTTCTATCAGCATCAACAACAGCTTTTGAATTCCTGTCAATGCAGTTTTTATGTGTGTGTTAGTTTGTTTGTTTCCAGTACAATCACTTTAAACTGCTGGCTGTGGGAGAAGCTCGAGAAAATGAATTCACACAAGTTTGGAAACAAAAAACAAAAAAAAGAAAACCCTCAGCTTCCATGTAGAAGCTTTAAAGGTTCATGAGAATCTCTGTGAGCCGACAAAGTCTTCACACACATCTCTGATAACTGGAGATGATCTTCATGTGTATGCTCTATTGTTGCGTTTCGCAGTCTGTCCCAGATGTCGCAGCAAAATGTAGCTGTTTAAGAGTAAAAAGAAATCCTAGTATTGTGTGACAGCATGTACAGGTCAATGAGTGCAGCGGTTGCTAATAACCTTTCTACTGATTGATTAAACAGATATGTGACAGCAGAGAGCCGGAGATGAGCAGAGAAAAGAAAGAAGAGACTGAATGAGTGAGCGAGCGAGTGTGTGAGTGAGTCTACGTTGATCCTGGGTTATCTATCACGGTACGACATACAAGGAGTGTGTATTAAAAAGCAGTAAGAAAAACCAAAGGTGAGTGCTTGAATTTGTCTAGCAGCCCTGTTAAAGTCCACTCAGGTAGGTTGCTATGGGTCTCACATGACCACGGTCTGTCGGGGCAAATTCTTTTCGTGTATGTAAGTGTACAGCATGTGAAAACCGAGAGATGAATTCAGGGTAGTGAACAGTCATCTGGCCCATCGCTATTTGAGGCGGTGTCTGAGGCCGCTGCGTCGGACGGTACTCGACCTGAAGAGACAATGACTGCCCTTCGCTGCTCTTCCTCACCAACACAGCCCTTTCCCTGGGTGCCCTCAATGTGCTGGATTGCCTGTAGAGAGATCGAGGGAGGGAAATGGTGTGAGCATCAACAGCACCCTCTAGTGTGCAAAACAATTTTTTGTTATTGTTGGTCTTACTTGAACAATGGTGTCCAGGTTCTGTCGAGATGTGGACACTGTGTTGATAACAGATGTAGGGCCCATGGTGACCACAGTAACATGATGGGGTTGAGCCGGAGCTGGGACAATGACTGTAGCATGATGTGTGGGGGCAGGAGGGGTAGCTGGAGATGCCACCTGGAAAAAAAGAGAGCCCCATTGAACTCTAGGTAACTTGTACAAGAAAAGATGAAGAGACCCAGCTAGGCTACTAGCATAAACATCAATGTAGCTCAAAGGTATGTTTCCAAAGTGTCAGCTTGTCTCATGCAGGAAAATCAAAAATGTTTGTTTACATTAATCAGCTGTGAAGTTAAACTGGGGTAAAAAATGTTGCAGTTATTGAATAAACAAGGATCTTAAATATTAGTTGCTTATTATCATTACCTCAAGAAAATTAGCCATTAGCTCAAAAAGAACTTACAAAAGCCAAAGACAAGAAAAAGTACTGCCTTAGAAATAAGACATTTCTCTATAAGACATTCTGTTCCACTTACATACACCATATACAGTACAGGTTTAGATGAGAGATGACCTTGAAACCAGAATAGAAAGAAAAATAAACAGAAATGATCTTATTTCTACTTGTGAACTTTTGGGGTAAACTTATCAAATTCTGGCATTGATTTCAGGGTCATGTCCGTCTACTCTGCTTGGGGAGTTATCAGCTGTCATCTTTCACCATCAGCACTCTGCTACCACGAGCAGATGAGCAGACAGAACACTGCCATTGATTTGGCATCATGTTCATTACGGGTAGAGAGAGAAAAAAAAAACCCAGGATACTGTGACGCCAAACACAGCACTGCAGCAACAGAACACAGTTTCAAATTATGCTCTCAGCATTATTATTTAATTTAAACCTTAAATAGATTTAAATTGTTATTAAATATAACTGCTGTTTTATTTCCTTGTACTGTTGAGAAACCTTAAAAATCTGTAAAATTGTGAAACGGACTAAAACAGATCAGAGACAACACAACTCTGATATGAAGGATTGTCTCAGCTAATGAAGAACAAATAGGGGCAAATGTGTCCACCTGTGGGCTGTGGGCTGGAGTAAGGTCCCTCTCCAGCTGCTTATGCTGCTGTAGCCGAGCAACGTTCTGTGTTTGGGCCTGATGTTCCTGCACATGCATGGCGATGGCCTTTAGTTTCTCTGGATACAGCTGTGCGTCTAGGGTACGCATCTGACACACACACACAATTAAAGGTTAAGTCTCTGGGTTAAGAACATGGACAGATTATGAAAAGTAGTTTGGCGCTCAATTGCCTCACCTGTTCTTCTAGGATCATCCTGACAGACCTCTCCTTTTCCAGCTGTTGTCGCAGCTCGATCATCTCCCTCCTCAAGTCCTCAGTCTTCTCCTCCTCCAGGATGTCTGGAGAGCCAATGCCTTCATCTTTCTCTTCTGCACGCCTCCTCTTCGGGGAGGAGCCGCTTAACTCCTTCGGAGAGCAAAGAGAAACAGATTTGGATTCATATGAGATTTTTAAAAAAGAGCCCGAAACGTTAATTATTTTGGATTCTCGCTGATGCCTTACCTGTATAATTCGTTTGAGCTGGTTGTTCTGCTGCAGTAGCCGCGTCTTCTCCTGCTCCAATGTAAAAATATAGTCCGATGTCTGTTGCAGAATAGCAGCCTGGTAGGAAGAAGAAGGGAATGGTGATGCTACAATTCTACCTTGACACAGCAGGGAGCTTCTTTAAGATGACATTTCTCTCAGTGAGTTCACCTTGCTGAGTTTCTCTCCATCGCTGTGTGGGATTAGAGTCTTTAATGACTGGAATCCTGCGTTGATGCTCTGCATACGCCGGCGCTCGTTGCTGTTAGCAATCTCTCTGCGAATTCGTCTCTCTTGGTCCCGAGCTGTTTCTGGTGTGAGAGGAATGTTGGCCAAACTGGGAAGGAAGAAGGATGATAAGGAGCAGAGGCGTCAGCGGGACAATACAAAAAACAAACTTCGTTTGTTAGTATTATTCGCTAAAGATAGTTATTCTCTCGCTAACCAGACATGTATCAATGAGGGTTCTTAAAAGTTGAATAGTTACAGTATAATTAACAGCTATAGTTGACAGTACCACATTTCCAGGCCTTTTCTCTCATTATGAGATATAGTCAAGATAAGAGTGACAAGGTTCAAGGTACTTTTGGTGTAAGATTAGGTTTGATTTGCTACAAATATCATTGTAAAATTAAATTCAAAGGCCTGACGGGGGAAGAGTGGTCAGTGTTTTTGCCTCACAGACAGGAGACCAAGGGTTTCAGAGTTTCCATTAAAAGAAATAAGCAGTAGAAAAATGAATCACATCTAAACTGTATCAGCTAAAAGGGCTGCCTTACATTAGTCATGGTGCAGCACATTCTGATGTACTTTTTACCAAATCCATTTGTTGTGTGAAGCAACGGTTGATTAGTCACTAATAGTTCCTTTTAACTGCAACTTACTTTTATTTTTCAATAACATAAACAGTTTTATTACAGAGAATAGGCATTAAATTGTTGCTTTGAACCAAAACAGAGTATATTGCATAAAATCGTTGCTTTGAACCAAAACAGAGTATATTTGTTTGATAGATAGTGAACATACTCTGAGTACATGTTTGTGCTTCAGATTAATTTCAACTGACCCAAAAGTGTCTTTGGTAATATCAGAACTCAGTGTTGTGAGGAAGAAAAACTTTACATGCAGCCAGACAAGGGGAAATTGTAGGTGAACTTCCCCTAACAGCCCCCTGTGTCGGCGCCTGTGTCTGTGGGACGTTCTCTAGCCAATCCCCTCTTATCTCTACTGACTCAGCTGCCACAGTACAAACACTGGGAACAATTGTGCACAGATGAGGAGAGGGGTGTGAGTGTGTGTTTGCCACCAAAACACAAGCCTACCAACACTGGCTGCACACCCAGCAAACACAGTGGCTGGTAAACATGTCCAGAACTGGACAGAAACCTATTTCATACACCTTCAGAGGTTAGAACTCCAGCGCAATGCTACATCAATCTACAGTCTCTACGATGGAAAGTCACATCAATTTTAGTAATTTTAAATTAAACATAAACCACTTCAAAGTTCTGGTTACATTTTTCCAAATCACCTGATTCAATATAAATGTTTTCCAATTGTTCCCTGCACATCTATCACAGTGCACCTTGTATCTTTGGGTTCTGGTGAAATGTAAACAATGCTTTTGATGATGTAGTTTTATCTTTCAAACGTAGTAAATTGTTCCACAACTTCTTGCATTTTCTACAACTCCCAAATGAAAGGTTGATCAATCAAGGGCATAACAACTTTCCCTCTAGTATGACAAAATTTTAAAAAAAATGTATTGGCAGACTAAAAGAATGGCATATAAGTATTGTTGTATTACAAAATACAACAAAAACATGTAGTTACCTTATCAATTGAAAAACATATGATCACAGTCAGCAGTAAAACTTAAAAATGTATATTTAAAAAGAGGTCATTCTACGGTAGTGACTTATGCTCACAGATAAATGTATCATCATTTGTTGTGCTTGAGAAAACAGAAAAATCACGACAGGACTTCGTTTCCCAGTAGGCATCGCGCTGCAACAAACAGCAGATCCCTCCGCCTTCCTCTTCTAACAGAGCTACGGACGTATCGACGGGCCTCGAGCAACATACACACCCCCTTATTTATTACAACGCCTTTAAATATCGTTGTTTCTCCAGTTTTTACAATAACACGCCGCATTACATGAAAATGTGTTCAAGTTGGTTTAGGATACTGCCTCGTCAGAGTAGCGCTCGCCGCCGCAGCTCTGCTCCAAGCCCTCACACTCTGTGTCCTCCGCCATTACAACAATGCGGCAGCAGCATGGCAGAGGTGCAGGCAGAAAAGACGCAGCGGTGGCGATTCGCTAGTGCCAACACGACCCATACAAATAAATAAACTACCACGGTTCCAAAAAAGGCATGTTTTCATCTGAACTGTGAGTTTTCACCTATAAGGGACTGAGCGAAAACACGGCGCCACAGACAGGAAACCGACGCCAGACCACCTTCATCACTTTTAGCCTAAGCCCAGAGCAAAAGCATGGCCGCACTACCCACAATAACTTAACCACGGTCTGAAAGAAATGGCCAAAACCGTGAGATCCGTTCGGTGTAAACAGTCCTATTCACACCAAACGACAGCCGCTCGTGTTACACTCTTCTTTATTATGCAAAGTGAAGCAAATGAAGCAGACACTGGGGGATAATTTGAGGGTAAATAGAGCGTGGTTGCGCTCTAGAGTGGAGCAGCAGCGTGGTGTGCCTGGAACCACGTGGTTTATGTTTGTTCGCCACAAATTACGCCGATTTCTGAGCCAAATGTGTGAAATTACATCACGATCGGGGCGTAGAATTATGAGCCTAAGCTTGTACTTGGTCACCCGCAGCATTATCAGACCGTTCGTAGATAATAAACACCCACAGACCCCCGCGAGTGGGTCATGTACACAATAACAAGCGTGTTGCCTCACCACGGTCCACTCCAACGATAAGAATGAAAATGAAAATGCAGTGAAGGCTGAATGAAGCGTGTTTATACGCACCTACAGAGACCTCCAATCACTTCTTTCTCCGTTTTCCTGAAATGTTGCAAGGAGGGCACCTTCTGAGCTGGTACCATGAAATACTCCATGCTCGCCTCTCTCTCGCCAGTTTGTTCCCCCCTTAAAAACAGCCAACAGTCCTCGTGGAATAAAAAGCCAAATTGATGACGTTGTGGAGCAAATGTCCCGTGATCAGACGCGGGTGAAATCCGAAATAAAGATGTATACCCTTCGTAAGTGTAATGTAGTAGTTTGAAGCAGCTGAGAGTTGTAATGTTACTCGATTTCCAGCTGATGGGGTTCCCTCGTTGTGTGTGGTGCGCTACCTCTCTCTCTCCTTCTCTCTCTCTCTCTCCCTCCCCTTCGCTTTCTCTGCATGGTGTGTGTGTGTGTGTGTGCAGCTGATCGGATGGCTTTCAAGGCGGGAAACAGCTGGTAGAAGTCACACACTGCACTTCCAAAAGCCTCCTTCCGCACAGACGGGGGACTGCATGTAAACAAAGGACTATTTACTGCAGGAAAGAAAAGCGCACATGTGGACTTTAACAGCTGAAAGGCTGGACGTGGAATGCATTAATAAACCAGGAGAAAGTTTAAGGTTGTCGAGCTAGTCAGACCAGAATAGACGGAGAAATATGAATAAACCAACTGAACCAGGTTTTCGACTATTTGTTTAGGTCTTCACATTTAGACCTATTTGCGCATATTTACATACATCTTTTTTTGTATATCAAATTCCCAAATGTGCATTAGCATAACAATATATAGATTTTTAATCAAAACAAAATCTCAAATAATCATATTTTTTTATTATTTAAAATAATATAATATCTAAAAAAAGAACAGTGAAACCAATACCTGAATACACATTTGATGAAAATCAAACACAAGGTGTGTGACGTTCACCTGGATAACTTCAGGAAAACCATTGAAAGTATATATATAGATGCATGGATCATGGAAGTTTCAGAAATTAACCATTATGTCAAACGTCAAAGATCTGAGGAAAAAAATATAATGTTTTCAGAACATATTGAAACAGAACATATGTACCCATATTATTGGTTGGATAAGCAAGAATAAAAAAATGCTTCTTTATAAATGGTGTAAGCATTTTCTGTTGGAATAAGGTAAGGTTAATTGCAGCAAATAAAGATTGGGGTTATTCAGCTGCAGCTACTCCAATGGCTGCGATAAGCAGTGAATAAGAGGGATCAGCTGACGTACTGGCAGAGCTGCTCAGCAACAGTGCACAGAGGAAGAGGAGGAGGAGGAGTAAGAGAGGGAGGGCTTTTAGGGACAGCGGTCTGCTGCTGCTACCACCACACACAGCATCTGAGCCAACGTGTGCGCTTTTCACCATTTTTGGTACAACAGTAGTACTATGGGGGATAAGCTGCAGTGACATCATTGCAATCATAAAACCGCGTCATGATTTAGATATTGGTACATAAACAAGTCCAGTGAGTTTATCCTGCCTTGATGCTGCAGGGTTTTTCAACATGTCATCTCGGATTATGTTTCCAATATTCTGTTTTAGTAGAATTAGTGGCATCAACACAGATACTGTAAACTCATATCCTAAATCCTATAGCATCCTTAACCTCCTCAATGTATAGCTCCCTGTATGGCTGGGTGACAAAAAAATACATGAACTAATAAACTAATAGCTTAACAATCAAAGTCACTCACTAGCCACATAACTAAAATGGCCTGCTCCATATTCTAATCTAGAAATGCATACCACCAGAGAAGGTGGTGCCCCCTACAGGCAAATCCAGTCCAAGTTGCTCTTGTTGACATTGCTGGAAGTGTGTAACTGGAATAAATATGACATGTAATTAAATTGTTCTCCACATCGATGTGATGTTACAACGTAGTAGACAGTATGGTACACAAATATGTAGCTGGGTAGTGATAGCACGGCTACAAAACAGCCACCTAACCATACTAGCTAACATTAGCCACAGATAACAATTTAGGGATTAATCGTTTTGTCACAAGGTGTACAGCACCAGAGAACAGTAGGAGCTGTGTGCTGTGGTACATTCAAGTAAAGCAGAATGCACTTGTGGCACATCCTGCACAGGATTAACTTCTTTTTGTGAGTAAACATAGAGCCAGAATGGTTGAACACTTTTCCTTTTACAATTCTGTTGTGATTTATAGTTCTACTCTAACTCCAATAGTCTGTCTGAGTTGCCAACCAGACTTGTTGGACATTAAACTTGCAATAAAGTTTTATTAATTTTCACGTACAATAGAACAGTGAAGTCTCTGGCTGTGAGAAGGTTAGGTTATGTAACACTTGACAATGACAACCTGTTGAGGTCTATTAGTGGATTTCTCGTAGAGGAGAAGAAAATTTCAACAAGCAGTAAAACAGATGGTTGTTGACCTTTAAAGAAGGCCCGTCGATGACGGAGCTGAGGCGGAGAGATGGCCATGAGCACAGAGAGAGTAGAAGAAGAAGTAGGAGAGAGTTTGGAGAGGAGCCGGGGACTGCCCATGGTGGAGGGGCGGAGCAGTAAGCATGCGCTGAGCTGGCAGACTCTGGGCTGGTCCTGACGGGCTGGCTGCGCTCCGGACGCCTGTCTGTGCGCCTCAGACGCTCGTGGGGGAGACGACCATCAACAGTGTCTCCTGGAGTGCACAGAGGGGGGAAGAACAAGCCGAAAAGACAGGAGGAGAACAGCGAGAAAGACAAGGCAACAGTTTCACCTCAGCATCTGGAAGAGCACCGAAGAAGACGTAGACGATCCTCCTCCTCCTCCTCTTCCTCCTCTACCCCTCATCCCGTCGCCAACCCGCCCTATCTCTAAACACCCTACCCACCAGTCTGTGTGCCATCCCTGTGGTCTGTACTGCCCTCCCACCCCCACGGGAGAACCTTGAGCACCCATAGGAAACCCCCGCACACTTGACCAGCGTTGCCACTGGGTGATGCGCCTCGTATTTAGGAAGGAACCCGCCGTGCGTTTTTGATGCAAAAACCAAAGCAGATCTCTTCGTTTTCCTCAGTGGGAACACTCCAGGCTGCGGATCTGCGTGTTTACACTTTTTGACGGGTTTCCAGTGGAATGATGACACGCAGAGCGTCTCATTCCACGGTAACTGACAGGCTGTCCTCCCATAGATTAGTCTTTATTTAAGACAGCCAGCTGTCACATAAGCTACATTTGGATTCATGCGTGATTTTTCCACGCTCAGTAACGATCCTGACAATGGTCTGGGGACAGACCGCCTTTATGAACTCTTCTTAGTATTTTTATAGACGTGTCATATCTGCTTTGCTTTTTTTAACGACAAATTGACGGACTGTCACTTGACGACGCGGCTTGAGCCTCTGGACTTTGCGTGAGAAGTTTGCGCCGGGAAGAAGGAGGACAGAGGCGGAGATATCTCTGCTGGATCCGAGGCATTTTCCCTGTGAGGTAAGCCGGGAGGAATCTCTGTTTTGTATGTCATTTGTATGTGTATTGTGTTCATATTGTTCAGCCTGTTCAGTTCTTCTTGGTTAGAGACTTCCAGTCTTGAAGTATCCTGCAGCCTGGAGTGCAGGCATTCGAGGCCGGCTACGTCGGCGTTTCTGTAGCTGCGTCTGTGCCTTTTACGCACCAGATCCGTATAGTAGACGCCCTTTCCGCCTGTTTTGCAAAAGTAAACGGTCATCTTCCTCATCTCCAAAAACCAGAATTATTTTTTTAGAGCAGCACCACAAACACCGTCCTGTCTAGAGGCGCACATCACAGCTCAGCCAGCTGTTGTGCAAGATTTGTGCTCTGGTGGATCCCTCTGATGTCCTGTCAAAACATCTGATAAAGAGTTCAACGTCTACTGACAGCCACAAAAACGACTGATGTATTGGTAAATAAAAGATAACCGTCATCTAAGGTGAACAAAATTCATTTATCTGTAACTGTATTTACACAACCTTTTATACAAACAGCTCTAGTCAGCTCGCCCCAGTGGGTCTCACATTCATTCAGGTGGACAACATTGGTACAAAGTAGACACGTGGATTTGAGTTTATACATTTTTGTAGGCCAAATTTGTGGACAAATCCATGTGTCCTACATTGCAGCCTACTTTGCACCCACACAGCTCACACACTCAGATGTGAGCTTTGGAAACAAGTACTGTTTTTAATGTTTAACATCATTTCTGACCTGTTTTTTTTTTAACCCGTGCTTGTCGTTGTATTTGATTTTAAAAATTCAATTGATTTCAAAATCTACTGAGGTCATACATGTACATGCAGAGGACAGGGAAGAGGACGGCCAGAGAGGCCTAGATAAAGAGCTATTTTCCTCCAATTAAGCAATCACACTGTCCCTAATTGTGTGTGCACACTGGGACAGGGTTCGGATGGACCTTCTCCCCATTGGCTGCCTCCCATGGGCCCATTGTTCCAGGAGATGCCACGGGGAAAGAGTCGAGCTCTGCCAAGGCAGACCTAACAAGCTATGTGCTGTAATGGAATAAGGCCACATCATTAAAAAGCGTCAGGTCACGGTGTAGGATGAGGCACACACTGAGGACTGTGTGATGTGTTTGTGTGATATAATGTTGCGAGTAGAAGAGGGAAGAACACAGCGGTAGGATGTGGAGCTGAAGGAGATCTGGCTCTCAGTTCAGTGGATCCCATTCAAAGTGTGTGGGAAAGAGACACAGCGGCTTCGCTGAGCCAGAACTCTGACTCCCTTCCCTATTATTGGCCTCTTCAATTTAATCATAACCCCTGTCTGAACTTTGAGCTCAGGTGCTTCTCTCATCCTTGGCCTGCCCGCTGCATCGATTATCCCAGAGGTTGGTGGTAGAACAGGGGGCATCCAACGTCACTGACCTGTTGCCTGCCACTTATTGAGCACTTAATGCTGCTAATGATGCTGCAAGGAGTGGAATCTAAACACGGCCATATGAAGCCAGATGTGGTGCAGCAAGGCATCCCTGTGGTGCCGTTCCACGTCTTTTTTTTTTTTGGCATGGTCAAACATATATATTTTGGCAGCTGCTGGGAGCGACAGCTAGCCCAGAGTTGTGGGAGTTGCAGGTTTCCACAGCAGCGTTTCTACCTTGTAAGCCTCGGAAATTAAATTATGGGTGTGGTTGTGACTGAGACCCCCCCCACCCCCCGCTCCACCTCCCCAGTTTCCCCCTGTTTTGTGAAATTACCCCACACCACAACTGTGTGACATCATACCACTGAGGTCCCAAATGGAGAGAGAAGTACAGCTGCTTTATGGTGGAAAAGGTGGACCCTAATGGCATATTCCTGCGTCAGAAAGAAACCACGAGGTATGTGGTAGAAGGATGGTGGGAACCCAAACAGCACTGGAACTTAATTCCTGAAAACCTCATCTGATATATAAAGTAAAGCATGTTCAGTTGGAGCTACACTATTGCCAATACATGATGTAAGAAAAGCGCACAGATTTTCTTTTTTTTACATTCATGGTTTCACATCTGAGCTGCACTGGTGAACTAAAATATGCTTACCACTGGGGAATATAAATCCCCAAAGACCTGGGCTGCTACAAGTGGGTGGAATTTAAGTGGCAGAGAGACTACATGTAGGGAGAGCGCTTGAATTAATACACAGCAGGGGGTTCATAGTTGCTGGGGATTACAGATCAGCTAAAATGCAACTCAGCAGCAGGGGAGAGAGGATTACAGTGGTCAGAGAAGGAGGCAGCGGACAGTGGAAACAAGGCACCTGATGCACACTTGCATTGTTTTCAGAAGGGTAATAACCCCTGTGGGTTATCACAGGGTCACAGCATTTGTGTCACTTTGTATGCTTACATAATGTAGATAATGAATGCTAACCCAAATGGACAGCTATTTCATTCAAGCATGAGGAAGCTCAGCCATAGGCTGTGTAGTACAGTCCTAGTGTCACATTTGAATGTAATGCATTAAGAGTTATAGCCTCAGAGTTGAGACTCGGTTGGTGAAGGATGTCAATAATTGTTTATTATTACCAATAATGGTTCTTAAACCAATGGAAAAATCAATTAGTTCATTCAACTGAAGAAGAGCAGAGTATCCGAAGCACTAGAATATTTAGAGAGTTGGTTATTTTTTCTTTTTTAGTGTTGTTGCACATCCATTAACTGCAGATGAATCCATTACTGCAGGGGCATTGTGTTTTAACACAGCATATAAAATCAGTTTTTTTTAAATTACGACTGATTTATTATGATGGTGAATATTCATGTTTTTACAAAAGCTTTTGTCATTCGTTTCTGTGTTCCACTGCCAACAGTGGTTATTATTCAGTCTCCGAATCCTGTCGTTGCTTCATCTTCACCTCATGCCTTTTAATTTACTGAGTTTACTGACATATCCATAACCTACTGACATATCCATAACCTAACTGTAAATTTTATGAAGAGAAAACATAATTAATATTTAGCTCCAAGTCAAGTCAAACTCCCCTCCTAACTAAATATTACAGCCTGGCTCCCTGCATGTTTTCCACAAACACTCTTATCTGTAATAATCACAGCCAGAGTGCAGAAGCACTCTACTGTCATATGTCCAAGCCGACTGAATGTCATTTTCCTGGATCCTTATGTTAGAAACAGACCAAGTGGATACACAGCTTGACTCACAGTGAGTCTCAAACTAAAAGAGACCAGCACATACTGCTTCACTCCCCGGCTGGCTGGGCTCACGGACCGTGCATTTTTCCTCAGTTAAACTGTAACCACTAATCACCTCACGGCCTCACAGTTTCCTCCTGAAGCCGACCAATCTTGGATCCCCAGGGTGATCTTAAACGGCCCATCAGGGATGTATGGTTTAGCCCTTTTTAGAATCACCTGTGCGGGACATCCAAATTGGAGATTTGCTCTTCCTACTAATGTCTGCCACAGAAACGTTTAGGGGTCAGTTCCTCTGCTGCAAGTCTGCAAGCCCGTGTTTCCAAAATAAACACAGACAACTCAATGGCTCACTCCAGCCACCCCACCCTACCTCTCCTCATTCCCTTTAGTGCTTCTCCTGTTCAAGTGCTTTTACCGTGAGAGAATTTCAGCGTACGGAGGGATCCAGACAACATGCTGACCTGAGTTGGGAACAGAACACTGACGAGAAAAAAGGTTTAGGAAGAAAAATAGAAGCCAAGCCAAGACGGCGATGCAAAGGAGCTGGCAGCGTGTGAGTGGGGTGAGAGGGTGGGATGTTGGAGGAAACATAGTTTGGCCAGACTCCATCAACATACTTAATATTACACTGAGTGTATTACGGTAGACGCCGAGTAACAAAAAAAAGAGCTGTTCACGATTCAGGATTTCTGGTTCAGGGAGCTGTGAGTTACACGCTCACAGCAGTGCGGTTTAAGTAGAGACACAGATGGTTTGTATTATTATTTACTTGCTTGGCCAACACCCTGGATTCTCTCGCACAACCTCAACAGCACTGAAGGCAGTTCAGTCTGACTGAGGTATGTTTGCTTGTTTGAAGAGAGAAGAAAGGGAGGAGTTGGACCAGAGGGGCTCTGCCTGTAAGTGAGGAGTAACATGCTGGGAAGGGAGCGATGGTGGAGATCAACCACTGGTGTGTGTGTGTGTGTGTGTTTGTTTTTTACAGAGAAGGGGATGAGGGGTGAGGCATTTTTTAGACTCAAATAAGGCTCTCAAGTCTGGGCCTGGGCCTGGCTCTCTGTCTGTCCCCCCCACCCCCCCTCCCCTCCCCACTTCCCTGGGACGCCATCTCTTCCTTGCTTTAAACGTCTCTTCTCTCTCCTCTGTTTTCCCACCCTTTGCCGTCTCATTGCTCCCACTTTTCATGAATCCCACGAAGCAGCGTCACAGATCCATCTCATACTGTACGTACAGAAGAAGAAGAAGAGAAAAGTTTGGCTTCCTCAATGTTTACCTTCTCTGTGGTGCTCTGTGGTGGAGATGTTAGGCCTAATGTGATTCACGTGCACTATGGTTGTTTTGTTTTCACATGGAGGAGCTGTATGTAATTTAGGGACGTTTTTGGTTTATTGTTTAATTCAGTGAAATAAATAAATACTGTCCTCAGATACCTCCATTAATTACATCAATATTTTTCTCCTTCACGATAACTAGTTGCTCAATAGTCAGTGTGTTTACATGAAGGTGTAGGACTACTGTCCTGTTCCTAATAAAAACAACCAAGAACGTTGAATTCAGACAGTACATTTGTATGTTGTGTGTTAAGTAAGGCAGATATTTGACATGACATGTACATAGAACCTCCAGCTGTTGATTCTGTGTTCGTGTAACTGTTAGACTTGTTTTTAGTAAAACTTTAGCTTCACTAACATGTTCATATTTAGTTTTTAGAACACCAGTGTTATGCAGATTAATGTTTTGTGTAGTGTATTGCTGCTGCTTATTAGGATGAATGGTGTTGTCAGTCTGTAAAAATAAAAAGATGACAGCAACATAATTATTTT